TTCTTGGCAAGTTGTGACAATCATAGAGGAGCGTGAATTGTGAGAGGCCGTCATAAACGCCTCATTATGTGACCGTCATATGACTGGTTCTATGACGCATTTGCTTCCCTACTCATTTCACTCCATTTGTACTAGAAACTCGGGAAATACAATATTCAGTTTGGTTTGATGGACCTCTTGCAAGCGAATTGATAGGAGTACATTTTTTGATGGTACTTTCACATGAGATTAGCCTTCTTATAGGAGGCATACAAAATTTACAAAGAAATGTGAATTTGGCTGTGCCTCGATCCACTTTGAGCCAAAATTAATTCCGATCAAATTAATCATTTTCATTAGTTTCTTTTTTGATTTAATTCAACTCCATTCTCATTGAAAGCTCATGAAATGCCATATTTCATCGTCTAAAAAATAAATAAATGAGACAATATTAATCAGAATTGAATCAATAGCGTCACCATATTGAATTTTTCACGTATCATTCAACGATGTGAACGAGTATTCATTTCACATTAGTTGTCGAATGAATTATTCCTCTGTGTGAATCAAAAGCCGGATCACTTCCCATTTACACTTCCCCTACTTCTCATCATTTACGATCACAATTGGATGAAACATAGGCCTCCCCCAACCTTGTACCACTTTTATTGACCATCGTCAATACCTTATGAAATTTATTTCACTCGATTCTGTACTTGCAACGTAGGAAAAAAGGAAGGGTCTCTCCCTGAAAGAAGATTTCATGCTTTGAACATTGTGGAGATTCGAGTCACGTACAAGGAAGCCCTATCTCATAGGGTCACCAAGAACTTCCTGCAACCCTCGTTCAATAAATAAGACGAAGAACGCGAGGGACCGTCGTATCCGCATCATAAACAATACAACCTCTGTCGGAATACTGATTCAGAACGAATGCAAACAATGTCAATAAGAATGAAAACGATGTAGTAAAAAGTGGAATCTGTGGATTGAAAATGTTATCTTAGTTTCACGGATGCAAAAATCTTGGATACAAGATGGGCAGAAAATTTTACACCCTGAACCTATAATATTTTCATATTTGTATCATTTACAATCTTATATAAGAGACGTGTGTCTAAGAAATATGCAATGTGGAGGTTCAGGACTTTAGCACGATTTTTTCCATCATTTCTTGCTTCAACATAGTTTTTCGCAATAGAAAATAACCGACGTGGTGATTGGACTGTATGTGTAAGTTATGAACTCCTAGTTAATGTATTCGTAAAATAAATTACAGAGAAGAAACGTATGAAAATCATAATTTGTTTGTGTATGACAGAATCTAATGAAAAGAGTACATAGGAAAGTTCTCACTTATTTACTAATGTGCATTCGAAGAAGGGGGCTATTCAATAAAATTAACCCGTAAGTGGTCGCATGGTAAGAGAATCCCTGTCCTGTGTATTTTACGGTTTCATAGAAGAGAATAGATGGAAAAAATAATTCATTCTTCGTCTACCGATAATTTTGAACCTTCAATGAATAGGAAATGGAGATATTAAAGAGAAATAGTCGTCAGATAAACCGAAAACTCGATCTCATTAGCTGCAAAATTTTGAAATTTTGAGGGTAAACACGGGGTTTTCAGCGAATTGAGTTTTAAGAAAATTTTAATAATTCATTGGTGTAAGCCTGGACTAAAAAAAATTGTCAATGTGTTCAGTATATTTGAAAATAAGAATACTAATTTTTATGAATTTTTTGTCACGAAGTTTTTGTGTCAAAAGAATCGAAAAGTGGCGGGGATTCCATCATTCCACGGCCACTTAAGGGATAAGTAAATTAAATTTCGATAACTTCAAATGTCGAGGAGAAATTAGGAATCTCTTGATGAACATATCAAGCCATTTAAGAATTTTTATATGATACGTGCGTGTAACCACATGGGTTTCAGTTGACTATAGTCAATTGGAAAGTAGCGGGTTTCAAGCGTCTACACACACTCAACTGAAACCCACTGTTCTAACAGTTGAGTGTGGGTAGGCGCTTGAAACCCACTACTTTCCA